TATGTGCACATGGGCCTTTTTCCACAGTTCAATTATTATTTTCTTTTTCTTATTTAGTAGGTACCCCGGTGGGTTGGCAGCGTATTCTTTCCTGTTGGTAGGGGTGTTTGGCATTATCAACAAAATGATAGCATGCATGTAATGTTCAGAATATGATGATTTTCTTATGTGAGGCACGGAGGGGAAAAGGGCCTGGCTGGAGCTGTACAGGTTTATTATTCTAAATGACCGCAGGTGACCCTAAATGGAATATGCATTTGGTTTGAATTGATCGAGTGTGATCTAACAGAGTTTGGTTGCTAAAAAAGGTGGGAGCAATGAAGTCCAAGTTTATGCACTGTGGACTGATATGATGAGCTATTGTGTTAGATATCTGTGATTGAGTTTTTGGTATTTGTTGCTGCCATCTCATAAGTTTTTTTAAAAATCCCTTCGAAAATGATTAACAGTAGTTCGTTTTTTTTATCCTCAGAACCTGATACCTTCCTTGGGCTTGAGAAGGTAAAAGTCTTGAACCTTCAAAGGAACGCCATTTCCGTCATATCCCAGCATGCATTCTGCGGCCTACCTCTCCTATCCGTGTTGGTGTTAAGCATGAACCGTCTGCGTTCCGTGCCTGTCGACGCACTCCTGCCGCTTACAGCACTGAAGTTTGCACACCTGGAAACAAACCACATCACCACGATCGACAGCAAAATCCTGCGTCTGAATCACAACCAGACCTTACGTCTGGCGTTATATGACAACCCGCTAAAATGTGACGCAAATCTCACCTGGTTCATCTGTAGTCTACCAGAGCTGGACTACATCGCTGGTCATCAACTCCTAAAGTGTGCGTCACCTGCCAACCTGAGCGGCATTCTGCTAGCCACCCTGAGGAAAGACATCAGTCAGACCAACATGGACAGGTCACCAAAGGGGATCAGGCTGGGGAGATGTGATGAAACGTCCACCACAACAGATCCGCATACCCATCTCACCAGGCTACACAACCACACCAGTCTGTACAACCACACCATTCCCACAGAGATGCCGTACACACACACCAGGCCAGGCTCAGAGTCTACCACAGGGACTGACGTGGTCACTCTTCACGGCGGCCCAATCATCACTGAGGAAGACGACAGTTACCACGTCAATGCCGTCATCATGGCTGTTGTTGTGCCTCTCCTGATGGTGTTAGCAGCGGGGGTTGTCGTCTACTTGTACGAACGCTGTCACGGCACACGTATGGCCCGGCGCAACGCCCCTGTTGAAACAGATGGAAACTCTGCCCAATCAGGAGCATCAGTCACGGGCACTCCTGCTCAGGACCAGACATCAGAGGGTAACGATGACATTGAGCCATACGCTGTGTCATACATGGATGTGTCGGGAAAGGAAAAACGGCAAGCTTGCACCGTACGCAACAACCTCCTTTGCTAACATCCAGACAGCAGAAGAAAACGATGACATTGAGCCGTACGCTGTGTCATACATGGATGTGTCAGGGAAAGGGAAAAACGGCAAGCTTGCACCGTACGCAACAACCTCCTTTGCTAACATCCAGACAACAGAAGACAACGATGACATTGAGCCGTACGCTGTGTCATACATGGATGTGTCCGGGAAAGGGAAAAATGGCAAGCTTGCGCCGTACGCAACAACGTCCTTTGCTAACATCCAGCCAATAGAGGACAACGATGACATCCAGCCAATTGAAGACAACGATGACATCGAGCCATACGCTGTGTCATACATGGATGTGTCGGGGAAAGGGAAAAATGGCAAGCTTGCGCCGTACGCAACAACGTCCTTTGCTAACATCCAGCCAATAGAGGACAACAATGACATCCAGCCAATTGAAGACAACGATGACATTGAGCCATACGCTGTGTCATACATGGATGTGTCGGGGAAGGGGAAAAATGGCAAGCTTTTTCCATATGCGACAACCTCCATCAATGAAGACCCAGGGCCACAGCTTCAGCCGTACGCAGTGACCCACGATGAAGACCCAGGGCCACAGCTTCAGCCATATGCAGTGACCCACGATGAAGACCCAGGGCCACAGCTTCAGCCATATGCAATGACCCACGATGAAGACCCAGGGCCACAGCTTCAGCCATATGCAGTGACCCACGATAAAGACCCAGGGCCACAGCTTCAGCCATATGCAGTGACCCACGATGAAGACCCCACACAAGCTACAAGATGCCATACAAGGGCAGGTTATACGTCGCTGACAAATGTCACTAACCAACAGACAACAAACGTCAAACAACCGGTCAACAAATCAGAGGGTCAGTCACTGCCAAAAGAGACAAACATCAAGCCAAACTATGAGAAAGGCTACCCATCAACAAGAGATGGCAGGGGTCCATATGGAATGGGCAAGGGAAATGAGGTCCCAGGTGTCAGTGGAACGCTGTATCAAAGTGGCTCACAGCACACTGATACAAGAGCTGACAGGGGTACATATGGAATGGGCAAGGGAAATGAGGTCCCAAGTGTTAGTGGAACACTGTACCGAAATGGCTCACAGCACACTGATACAAGAGATGACAGGGGTCCTTATGGAATGGGCAAGGGGAATGAGGTCCCAAGTGTCAGTGGAACACTGTACAGAAGTTGCTCACAGCACACTGGTGCAGAGAAGCACAGCTAAACTCGCACGCTGTAGGACACGTAATTTTGTACAGCTCACAAACAGCCTGAGTTTAGACAGCACATCTCAAAATCACAATCCTTTAGAACTCCGCTCACGGACAGCCAGGAGTAATGACAGCATATCTCACATGCTTTAGAACACAGCACATCATCAAGGACAGCATGAGGGTTTAGACAGCACATCTCAAAATCACAATCCTTTAGAACTCAGCTCACGGACAGCCAGGAGTAATGACAGCATATCTCACATGCTTTAGAACACAGCACATCATCAAGGACAGCATGAGAGTTTAGACAGCACATCTCAAAATCACAAAGGGTCACAATCCCTAAGACGGGACTTTAAGCTGTGGTGCACTGTTCATTTTGCTTGTCGATAAGAGCCAGGAGAATTTACCTGGTACAATGAACCTGTAAATACTGTACATAGCGTCTGTCTTGTCTCTCACGACCAGTGTGAGCTACAACCGGATCGAGATCGAGATTTTGATTTTTTTTAATTTTATTGAAATTGCAACAGTGCAATACACGCGGAACAGCTAGAGGCAGCTGTTGCTGGTGTTGTGTCCCACACATAGAAACAAACACTGGACAGACAATACTCATTTTCACTTGAGTCTAGAGGGGAAAGTCTTGTAAAGTGCCTTCTCCCAAGGGCACAAGATTGGTGGCATGTCAGAACTCGAACCCGGGACCTCTTGATTCCGAGTCGTGCACGCTGCCATTGCGCCACACGACACAATTTCCTTTGTTACAACAATTCCGCTTTCGACTATACCCCGAAGTGATAACAAACTGAATTTCTTGCAGTGATGCAGTTATTGACTTATAAGAAACAAGGGTCTTGCTGCTGATCATAATATGACTGTAACAAGGGCCTCATCCTGTTTATTCTACAGTCACGTTTCCAAACCTATGCCCTGCCGGGTAGGTATATATTTCTGCATCATTCTGTATTTGGTATAGCCGGTATAACCCTTCAGCATAACACACCAGCTTTGCAGACGCGCGGCCTGGCGGCGGCTAGTCAATATCACACCGAACGACCTGTTACACTCAATATTTACACATTTAATTGCAGTTGAGTTGTTAACATCATTTTAGCTTTAGCCAGATCATAGAAGAACAAGTCGTACCAAGGACAAGACAAATTATGCTAATGCTTTAGAACAAGAACATTCTTTGCAAGAACACGCTTAGCCACCTTAACAGCAGAAAATCACCCTTTCTTTCTCAATAGTCCATCAGTCAAGAGAAAATTTCATGCTGACAGTTTCTTCCCCAGAACCACTTCACTGTGGAACAAGCTTCCCCGTGAATGTTTCACCGCTAATTACAACCTCCAACGGTTTAAATCAAGGGTGAACAAATATCTGACCACGCAGTCATCACTGTAACCCAAAACATGTAAGTGGCTCTCACGAGCCTTGTTTTGAGGTGAATCTGAAGTAAATAAAAAAAAAAAAGCTCAGCCTGTGTAATGTATCTGGAAAATTAATGTGTCTCGTATAGGACCTGCAAGGCGGAGAAAGAATTCCTTTTGACATTTTTCATCAGTACGTTCTATGGGATGTATTCCACTCAAGAAAAGAGAGCTCGCGGATCAAAGAGATGTAGTCTGAACGTCTGAATTTCATTTCTGACTGCGCAGTCAAAGACTTAGTGTTGAATATGAAACCTCAATCCACTGATGAAACTACTAACAATACTGTACAACTACTGTACTATACAATGTCCTGGATGCTAATAATCCAGCATTTAATACCCTGCCAAAAGCAATAATTATTGTATATGTCAGGATCAACAAGATTTATCTAGTACATATGATACATGTATTATGCAACTTGAATGTATATTACACATATGAAAACACACTTATACATAATCACTGTCACTGTGTTTATGACATGTGTATGCGTGTATATTATACGCACATACACGTCATAAACACAGGGACATACACATACAGTACACACACTTATATGCACACAGTCACACACACACACAAGCACACACACACACACACACACACACACATGTATTAAGGTGATGTATATAGTATGGAAATGTTACTCATTGACAAGCAACTACTAGTAGATAAATACAAACAGGAAATTAGTGGAAGTATTTTTCTCTCACTTAGATGTTCAAAGAATATGTTGTATACATGTTGTTAACATCTTTACATTACGTAAACCTACGAAAATATTTGGCTGCACGAGAAAAACTGGGTGCACAGCTCCCGTTTTGGGTGCACTAATTGTAATTAAATAAGGTGCACATGCACCCAGTATTTTGGGCCCTGTTACATAATAATGATATTAATATCTAAAACTGTGTTAAAACTCCAGGTGAAATCTCAGCTGTGGAAAGCCGCCCAGCCTGGCCTAACGTCCGTGTCAGTTGATTGGCAGCAGTGGGATGATGATGCTCCGCCTCCCGTCCAGGCGCCCAATCAGATCGTCTCTCTCTTCAACGGCTCTCGTCAAGTGGTGTACGGTTACGTCCCTCACTGCACCCAGGTGAACATATTTCCTCTCCCAGCTTGCAAAGTAGCATTATGGTTGTTTCCATGCTTTTAGTGATGTTGACTAAGAATCTATTAGTAAAGGTTCTGGCAGGGTTTTTAATCCTTTCTGTTGTTGACAGTTTGAAAACATATTGTTTTTGCTCAGTTTATTTATTTATTTATTTCATCATAAGACAGCTGGGTAGCCCCGTTCATTAGCTGTTTTTCAAGGGGGCCCAGCAAAATTACACAAGACATTGTTACATACAGTAAGACAAGAGTGGACAACATACAGTAAACATAAAAGTCTGATGCGTCAAAACAGAGTCATAGTCCTATACTCAAAGTCCTAGCCGTTCAAAGGTCAAAACACGAAAATCAAGGAATGGAGATTGGTTTATTCTTCTTCGTCAGTTCCAAATTCATTGACCTGGACCAGGTGTACATGTATGTCATAATGGAAACTGGTGCTGTAGCAACACCCTGTGGTGTTGGGTTACTTTAAAAAATGTATGTACATGTATCAGAACAGATTTGAAGAGGCTGCCCATCATCATACATATATTAAGTATTTGACTTTGAGTAAGAATAAACAGAGCAGTAGTTTGTTCAGCTAGACAGTGAACTTCAAGGTAACATTAACTCAAAAATACTATCATGAAAGTTGGTAGTTACATGTTTAATGTTAAAACTTTTGTTCCAACACGAAAAATTCTCTCACCTAGAGCTTTCGACCAGTCACTCTGGTCATCCTCAGTAGACTGACCCAGTGAAGCTTGTCACATGGCTTCTTTGAAGTGTGACGTCAACACTGGGTCAAAGGTATCTGGTAGACAATGTCGACCCCCATCGCGGTTCAATGTAGGGTGATGCACTACCAAAAATGCTTTTTCTTGTTTTTCTTATTTTCTCATGGGAAGAAAATTTTTCTTTGGGGGAGAATAATAAGAAAAAAATAAGAAAAAAATAAATTTTCTGTATACCTACATTCTTGCACCAAGAACTATTTCCTCATTTTTCTTGAGTGGAGATAATTTTTCTAAAATAGGCTTCTTTAAATCTTGATTTTTCTTTGGTGAAGAAATATTTCTAGAGGAGATTCTAACTTACAAGATTAGAATTCTTGTAATCTTGAAATTTCTTTAGTAAAGACAATATTTCTAGGGAAGATTCTAAGTTACAAGATTAAAATTCTTTTAATCTTAAAATTCCCTCAGACTTAGTTAAATTTTCTTATTTAATCTCCATGGAAGATTTCTTTCTTACCTGACATCAAAGTGGTCAGATTTAAGATTTTTTTTCTTGTGTATTTCAAAAAATTTCTAGTTCATGTTACCGAGAATGATTGAAAAAGGCCATTCTTGTTTTTCTTAGCAATGTTTAAGAAAATACAAGAATTTGGTTCTTGCCTTTCTTGGCAAACACTGATTGGAAAAGCAAGAAATTTAATTATCTAAATCTATTATTAGAATAAAGCTCTGCTTAGTGTTTCTTTCTTAAAGTTTCTTGTTTTTCTTGACTAGAAAGCTTAAGAAAGATCATTCTTGTTTTTCTTGGCAACATTTAAGAAAATACAAGAATAAAGTTCTTATCTTTCTTGACAAATACTGATAAGAAAAAAAACTAGAGAGGCCGACATTTGCTTGGGAGCAAATACAGCATATTTCAGTCCATCTCCCTCCCACGCAAAAGTGGACTATTCCAAACTTACCCCAGTGTAAAACTGGCAAAGATTCTCAAATAAGTGAATTATATAGTAGCTATGTAATTGAGAACAAAGATGCAAGAACAAGCACATTGAATCTCGAAAGCTTTACTAATCTTATTACAGGTATGCAAATACTAACAATGATGAGATTTGATACATTTTGAAGGTCTTAGGCACATAGAATTGAATGTGTGGGTCATTAGGCACGACTTACGTGCAATGTGACCTCAGGTAACCCACATTGGAACACGTGTTCCATGGCCAATGGCAGATGGAACGGGCATTCTTTACATAGAACATGGAACGGGTATAGCACTTTTGGCCCTTTTTTTGCTCAAAATAGCCATCAAAGTCCCCCAAATGAGTCATTTGGAAGTGGTGTATGCCAAATATGTGACTGCTATTCTGTAGACACATGTTCAAGGTACCCTTATACCGAATTTCAGATCATTTGGTTGTAAAACCAGGGCTCAGTATCCAAAAATCCATTTTTTGTCGAAAAATGCCCCAAAAAACCTTCATAAAAATTTTTCAAAGGCATGTATCAAAAAAATGAAAAAAACGCCTGGGGGTATTGGCCCACTCTACCTCCAGGCCAAATTTCAAGTCATTTGGCTGAATGATGGCGGAGTTGAATCCCTTTGACTGTTTGGCAGGAGGAGAAGGAGGAGAAGGAGAAGAAGAAGAAACATCAGAGAACACAATATATTTCATCCATACCATGGTATGGACTGAAATATAACAAGAAAGTCTGATATAAAATTGATCTTTGATTAGGCTGAAGATATGGCTAGTATTATATTCTTAAACATTCTTGATTTTCTTCCCTAGTAAGTTTAAGAAAGGCCATTCTTGTTTTTCTTAGCAACATTTAAGAAAATACCAGAAAGTTTAAGAAAGATGATTCTTATTTTGCCTGGTGATGTTCAAGATGATGTAAGAACTTTTTTCTAGTTTTTCTTGTCATGTGACCTTTTCTAAACCCCTGATTGGTTGATTCAAATCCCAGAATGCAGTTAGGGGTTTTGAACATAAGTCAGATGTAAGAGCCGCGCTGCTACTTATTTTTGTCAGTTACTGACTCATGTCAGATTTGAAGTCAAAATCAAATCAAAAAGGACCTTGTGTACATGTGAAGCAATGGAGATCGTGGTCATCTTGCTGAAGAAACCAACTTTGCAACAGAAAAAGCATGAAACCAAACAGATTGAAGGTAAGTGCGCCCCCCTCCCCACCTATAAGATCTGTTGACATTGTTTTTAGACTTCATAGCCCAAATATTGTTACAACGCCATTGGGGTTGATTTCAAAGTCAAATCATTATCTCTGGTGTATTGTATAGTAAAGTTTATTACAGTGCTTTCTAATACAATTTTAAATTGTTTACTCCAAGTAATAAAATAGTATTTTAGCATCCTCTTTTGACTTGTTGCCTTCAGTACACGCATGCAAACTAACACAGGTCTTTCCTGTTGTTTTTCAGGTGTCCAAAGGGTGTGACTTTGCCAATTCTATAATGCGAAAACTGCAGTTTTTGCTGAATATGCTTCTGATCTGAATGTGATACGATCTGTATTCTGAAATCATAATGGCTTGTTAGTTACATCGTATAATATTTTGAAAGTTACTGTTAACTCTTTCCATTCCAAGAATGTTGATGGACTGATTTTATATTTTTAATTAGATACATTGTACAAAAATCAATGTGATAATAAACATCTCTATAGTGTCCAAATGCTTTTCAAAATAACATTTAGTTGCTATACATTATTGTCTGTTTTATATTTAGGTAGCACTATATACATTGTATTTCTTTTCTTGTGGGCAGAATGGTTTTCTTGCTACAAGAACAGAGTCAGCTCTTATTTCAAGAAATCTTTTCTTGTGTACAGAATGGTTTTCTTGCTACAAGAACAGTTAGCTTCGTTCAAGAAATCTCTTCTTGTGGGCAGAATGGTTTTCTTGCTACAAGCACAGTTAGCTCATAGTTCAAGAAATCTTTTCTTGTGGGGAGAATGGTTTTCTTACTACAAGAACAGTTAGCTCTTAGTTCAAGAAATCTTTCCTTGCGTGGAGAATGGTTTTCTCGCCACAAGAAGAGTTAGATAATAGTTCAAGAAACCTTTTCTTGTGGGGAGAATGGTTTTCTTGCCACAAGAACAGTTAGATCTTAGTTCAAGAAATCTTTTCTTGTGTACAGAATGGTTTTCTTACCATAAGAAGAGTTAGATCTAAGTTCAAGAAATCTCTTCTTGTGGGCAGAATGGTTTTCTTGCTACAAGAAGAGTTAGATCTTAATTCAAGAAATCTTTTCTTGTGTACAGAATAATTTTCTAGAAAACTTAGAAATTCTTACTGCAAGAATAATATTCTAAGGATATTTAGTCCAAGATATATAAGAAAAGAAATCTTACCACAAGAAAAATATGCTAAAATGCAGTTTCTTGAAATTCTTGTCTCATGGACAAGATTTTTTTCTTGGATGAAGAATAATTTTCTCAGTGGAAGAAAAGTTTTCTTCTCTGAAGAAAAACAAGATTGGCATTTTTGGTAGTGTGGGCCCTGATAGTTTATTGTTTTTGCTCAGTTTATTCTTCTTCGTCAGTTCCAAATTCATTGCCCTAAACAAGGTGTCAGAAGCTGTCATAATGGAAACTGGTGCTGTAGCAACACCCTGTGGTGTTGGGCTACTTTTAAAAAAAATGTATGACATTGTACATGTAGCAGAACAGATTTGGAGAGGCTGCCCATCATCATACATATAAAATTTATTTGACTTTGGGTAAGAATAAACATAGCAGTAGTTTGTTGGGCTAGACGGCGAGGGTAACATTAATATAATTATTATAATAATAATTATGCATTAATGGCTTAAAGTTTCTAGTTTTAATGTTTTGTTTCATTTCAGGCCACTCTGAAGGCTGTTATTAACAACCGTGAGATCAGCACCATGGTGTCCACTTCTGAACTCAGCATCACAGCTGGCAAGGTGGGCAGCTTTTTGGCAACACCACAGGAGCAGTGCCATATTTCACCTTAAGGCCACACCAATTTAATTTGTTGGTTCTCAGAATTTTTTATAAAAAATATGAAGCGACAGGGCGGAAAAAATTAAAATAAAATCAGGTCTAGGCATCCTATTATAGCCCAAAATGCTATGATAAGAGCCATGAAGTCAACACAAAAGGCTGGGTTAATATGTAAACAATGAATTTCGAACTTTTGATAGATGGAAAAACTGTAGGAACTAGGAAGAAAAGGACTTTCCCCAACTGAAGAGGCTAATCCGAGAACCAACAAATTAAATTGGTGTGGCCTAAAGAAACTTAATGTCCTTCCCGCAACCATTGGCATAGTCGCATATGGCGATGCCCATTCCTGTTTTGGTAGCCCTTGGGCCACACAGTTGTGCAATCACTACATCAGGGGGTTTAAGCATGCTAAGGTTTAAATTGCTTATAAATCGAGGACGTCATAATTTTATCACAGTAATCAGTTAATTAAGGATACAGAGTTTTTATAAATATTCTACTTAAAGCTTGTTACAATTTATGCTTGTTTGTGCAGACTTCTTTTTCTCGCTTTTGTTTTCGTTGACTTTTATTATTTGTTATAATGTTGATAATGTTATTTTATTGTTGGTGTTGTCCCCCAGACATTCCGTGAAAAAAGCCAGAAGGCCATAAGTCTTTTTGGATAAATAAAGAACAACAAGAACATGATCATGGGAACTGGTTCAAAAAGCTGAGGAAGTTTTTTTTTACCGAATTTAACGTCATTTTTCCCCAAACGGGTGTTAGACGTGCTTGCACCAAGTACAAGTCTTTTTTTTAAGCAAGATTTTTACGGCTGGATGCTCTTCCTAACGCCAACCGGAACCCAAACCCTTTAGTGAGGCTCAGGATCCCTCTAACTGAGGGGGGAAATACGTGTAAAGTGCCTTTCCCAAGGGCACAACGTCTGGGTGCATGTTCGGACATGTCTCAGTCCAATCCTGAGTGATTTTGTCAAGAATTTTGGTAATTCTTCGAGTTGAAGAACAGTTAAAAGTTTATTGTAACTTACAACACGGTTTGTTTTTTCAGATCCTGCACCAGCTAACGGCTCGAGCTGTGATCAGGGACTGGGAAGATGGAACACTGCATGTAGACAGGACACACCACGAGGTCAGTCTATTTTCCTGAAATTAAGAATTATAGGGCTGTGTTGTATACATTGTACTTAGGTCACATCAATTTAATTTGTTGGTTCTCGCATTCGCCTCTTCATTTTTTCTGATTTGCAAAAAAAAAAATTCTGGTTCTGAATCAACTCAAAAATGCTCATAATTTGCACCCAACAGTTGAGGAAAGTTTATTTCTTCCTACTTGTTACAGTTTTTCCATCTATCAATGCAGTGGTTTGATTAAAGTTCAAAATTCATTGTTTAGATATTAACCCAGTATTTTGTGTTAACTTCATGGTTCCTATTGTAGCATTTGGGGCTGTAATAGGATGCTCGGACCTGTTTTTATTTCTGAAAAAAATATAATTATTAAATCAGTATGTAAACCCTCAATAAAAAGATAATCTACCACCAAAAAAAGACAGTTAGCCACTGTAATGTACATGTAATGTTATATCTTACAGTAACAATTACTGTTGATTGGCCAAACTGGTTAAGGTACAGGTTTTTGTTCTGTACCTACTGATATACCTGTACCTGTAAATAAAACGTATGTAGCTCACCTATACACAGCTCTACCAAATTAACATAGAATGAAATTCATCAATGCTATGATAATGATGTTATAATGATAATAACTTGCATCATTGACGTTTGTTTCCTTTTGGACTTTGGAATTTATCTTCACTAATTTGCATAGCAATCAGTAGTTCGTTCTTATAAACCTGCTTTCTCCTGCAGTCTCTTAGTGTCACTGACAAAAGCTAGTGGATGCTACCTGAAACGTCTGACCATTTCCAAAATCATGTCCAGTTGCTTGAGTAACTGTTTTTTGGTGTATCGTATTACTTAGTACCTGGATGTCTAATCTTCACATAAGACACCGACATAATATTCTTTCACCACACTTTGAATGTTTTCTACTTTTTTTCTAGACCAAGAAGATGGGACTGAAACCTTACATTATCAGTCTCAGTAAAGAGTACTCCATTGTCACACAGTTTACCAGCTTTGTGGCCGTGGAAAAGAGAGAACAGGTGAGAAAAGTTTTGGCAACCCCTCAGGAGTGGTTCCATTATACAATGTATCTGTAACATAATATGCAATTTGAACACTTCATTTCACTCAGCACTACTGGTCAGAACGTAGAATGATCTATTTCACATGTGCCATGTTGGATTACAGTTTATTCTGGACTTCCAGTTTAATTCAGGACTAATTCCCATATAACCTTACATCTAGATGGGCCAATGTTGTAAACTACAGGTAATTTAAAAATGATGTATGAAATACGAAGTAGCCATTAAGGACCCCGTGGGGATTAACCCAATTCTGCAGAATTCTTCCCAGAATTCTGGCTCCAGTTCGCAGAATTCTACAAAATTCTGGCTCCATTTGCACTACATATAGTATACATATTTCTTACATCATTTTGACCTATAGTTTACAATCATGATTCATCCAGAATGATACTGGAAGTCCAAAATTAAACTGGAGGCTGTTCTATTACATGCTGCTGCTGTAATCAATGAATATGATATGGTATGGTATAATATGATATGATTATTGAATCAGATATGATATGGTTTGATATAGGGTGAAGATCTAACAACTGGTGATGGTCCCACCATCAAAGAACTGGTGCAGAAGGAGAGTGTAGACATCCTATCATACATGGGATGGCAGCAGGACGAAGGACAATTGGATAGTACAGAACTGTTTGAGGTAAGAAGCATTGAAAAGACTATAAGGACACAGTTATATGCAAATTTAATTTATTAAGTTATCTGTAGATTAATTAGAAAGGGGGTAGGAAACTGAGAGATATCTTTAATTTTGGAATTTCTAAACAGGTTGAAATCCTTAAAATCATCAATATTGATGTGCAAATAAGACTTAGTCAAGTACAATGTACAACATGAACTATGATGTTGGTATCATGAAAGTTCTTCTGTGTTTAACTTTAGTAGTAATCATAGTAAAATGTTGAACTTTATTTATTCCAACACTAAGTTACAGACAGATCAAATATTCAGCCATTTCAGTCATTAATTATCCTGATGAAGGCAACAGTGGTCATTGAAAATTGGATCTCTGTGTTACTTTGTGTTGGAAGAAAATTGAATGTTTCAATTATATATTATTAATGATGTTTGTATGCCTTAATTACTAGACTAAAGTGTTTGTTGCAAAGTCTTTTTGCATATATTTTATATCTTTTTGCATATATTTATGGGTTCACCACAGAAGTGGTGTGGTGAAACCATATTGCTTTTTCTGATGTTTCTTCTTCTTCTCCTCCTCCTGCCATTTTTTAAATGGATTCAGCTTCTTCATTTTAGGGCCCAAGGTCCTGAAATTTGGTATGGAGGTACAGTGGGCAAATACCCCTAGGTGTTTTTTAAATTATTGTGATACAGGCTTTTAGAATGGTTTTATTTGAGTTTTTTGGCTGTGTTATAGCAAATGTATTACTGTGTTAGTGTGCCTTGTTTACCACGTTTGGGCATGAGTCATCACAATGGAATGCAGGGCATCAACCAATAGGCATGCAGCTTTCCTCTATACTTCTTGCTGATTGGCTGTTGGGATTTAACTTGATTAACACCTGCACAGAAGAATTTCTGACAGTATGTCTGTATTCAAGTGTTTTGGTAGGTATTTCAAGCTTTCCTGCTCCAGCATTGGAATGCCGGGCATGGACGTTTTTTTTTTATTTTGAAAATCAACAGTTTGCATTATGCAATTAAAAATCCTAACCAATAAAGTAGGGAATAGCTATCCAACTGTTGTTTTAGTTGTATTTTACTTCATATTATAGTTATATCAATGTAAATCATTGTTTTCCCTTGTGTTTCCCATTCTTTCCCTGCCATGTCGTAAAATGTGGTGAACCCATCGCTGTATTTGCTCCAAAGCAAATATTGGCCTTTCTAGTTGCATATCTTTTTGCATATATTTTGCATGTATTTATGTTTTGTAAATATGTCATGTGTGTCTTGAAGGACCACAGGAAGAATAGCTACATTTGTTGTAAGCTAAATGTGGATCCCAATAAAGTCAAAGTCAAAGTCATATAGTTACTAGAATAATTATTCTTATCATGAAAGTTCATCTGTGTTGGTAATAATCATAGTAAAACATTGAACTTTATTCCAACACAAGGGTTACAGAGCGATCAAATTTTCGACGACAATTGTCGCCTTCAACAGGATAAGTAATGACCAATCACTTCACAACGTGATCTCGCGAGAGTTACGGTTTACAAAAACGTGACCTTATTCACACGAGACTTTACTGATACGTGACGTAAGCAATTGATCAAAAGATTAATTATCCTGATGAAGGCGACAGTGGTCATCAAAAATTTGATCGCTCTGTAACCCTTGTGTTGGAATAAAGTTCAATGTTTTACAATAATTATTCTTGTTGGCCAGACCACAACTAAAGCCCTTGGAGACAACTTGGAGTTAAACGCCGCATTGGTTATAGCAAATAATGAGCGTAATCTACCGCCAACTGATGCAACAGTACTACAGGCGAAACTGCAGTTAGCAACGTTTTATCGCGACAAGTTGAATATGCCAAAAAACGCATGCCAGATTGCCAAGTCGGCGTTTGACGACGCGATTGCGGAGTTAGATACGATGAGCAAAGAAAGCTACAAGGACACGACCTTGGTCATGCAGCAGTTGAGAGACAACTTGACCTTGTGGTCTTCAGAGGACAGGGAAGAAAAAAAAACAGCTAGTGGAAAGAAAAAGGTGCCAAACCTCAAGTTGCATGATGTCGCATCTAGGAAGCACGTCGGCAGAACGTACTGCACCTGCGCAAAACCCGTAATGTATCATCATTTGCACATAGCTCTTTGACAGAATGTCTCATATAAGGTCACATTCGCACATACTAAGGTCAACATCTGACTGTAATTTCCAAATGTTATAATGTCAGAAAAGATATCGTCTGCAACAGGCCAAATTCTGCGGCAACGCTGACCAAAAATCCAATGGAAACCGTGAAAAATTGGGGTTTTGCTCAGGCGTAGTTTACGTTCTGTCAACGTGCGTATCTAGATCTAGGACTGTGTGTGTGAGTGCACACATACATGTAGTCATGTTTAAAGTTAAAACTTTTGATCCAACAAAAAGAAATCTCTCACCTAGAGCTTTCGACCAGTCACTCTGGTCTTCCTCTAGTAGACTGACCCAGTGAAGCTTGTCACATGGCTTCTTTGAAGTGTGACGTCAACACTGGGTCAAAGGTATCTGGTAGACGATGTCAGCCCCCGTCGCGGTTCAAAGAAGGGTGATTTTGGACACTGAACAAGACTATATTTCTTGAGAGGGGTGAAGGAAGCCATATACATCAGGGCCCATCACCCTACATTGAACTGCGACGGGGGCCAACATCGTATACCAGATACCTTTGACCCAGTTTTGACGTCACACTTCAAAGAAGCCACGTGACAAGCTTCACTGGGTCAGTCTACTGAGGAAGAGTGACTGGTCGAAAGCTCTAGGTGAGAGATTTCTTTGTGTTGGATCAAAAGTTTTAACTTTAAACACTTAACATGTGACTAACAACTAAAGATGAACTTTCATGATAGTATTAGTTATTGTAGTGTTCTAGCAGGCCTTTTTAGCATAGGGGCCCCCTATGTTATGATTTTGACCCCTATGCTATAATTTTGACCCCGCTTAAGTTTCAACCAGCATAGGGGTGTTTTGGGAGGGAGAAACTTCATAAATCTTGCAAAAAATGAAAATATAACTTTAGAATGATGCTATTTAGGGAAAACCTTAACTTCACAAAACAAAGAAGAAATAGTGTCTCAGGGGTTTATGAGTTTCAAAAGTATGTAATAGTATGGGATGAGAATTAAGTATGGGATGAAAAATAAGGCATTTACAATGATTTTGAAAATTTCTAATATATTATACAAAATACAAGATATAACAGTAATATAATATCATTAACTTGTTTTTATTTATCATTTTGTTTTGAAATTGCTAACAGTCATTCTCATACACATATCTCGGCTACAATCTATATGATTAACATCGCGGTAAAATTAAAAAATATTTTGATATATGACTGTAATTATACACATTTGCTGCTATGTTCCAAGACAGTTATACCAGCTGTACTGATACAGATACAGATGCTCAGTCATGATATTATTAATGCTCGTTATTGATACTTAATTAGGCTTTTAGCTTTTATAGAAAGGACCCCTAGAGTAACCAAGCGTGTAAAAGCAATCTATATCTAATGAGCCTTGTACATCCCTGAACAAAGTACAATTAATCTTTAGGGTATACTTAGTTCATACCTATTTCTGGCTTGAAAGTAGACCATACATTATTTAGATTATTTTGAATTACTTTGAAGTCAAACTTTAGGATAAATAATGTCATAATGGTCTATTTATGGTTTTAGATTTTGAAGTTTAAAGTAGACCATATTCCTTTGGATTATTTTGCTTTACGTTGAAGTCAAACTTAAAGGATATTATGGCTAAGGCCACACCAATTTAATTTCTTGGTTAACGGATTTGCCCGCATCATTTTTTTTCTGATTTGCAAAAAAAAAAAAAAAATTCAGAATCAAGTGCAAAATGCTCATATTTTGCCCTGAACAGTTGAAAACAGCCCTTTTCTTCCTAATTGTTACAGTTATTCCATCTTTCAATGCAGTGGTATCATTAAAAGTTCAAAACTCATTGTTTAAATTTTGAACCAGCCTGGTGTGTTGACTTCATGGCTCTTATCGTACCTTTTTGGGCCATAATAGGATGCCTAGGCCTGTTTTTATTTTTTTTTTTTTCTAGAAAAATCCGTTAACCAAGAAATTAAATTATTGGTGTCGCCTAAAATTTAAAAAAAAGAAGAAAGTTCATACCTACGGTAGTACCGACCCAAGTTTTTTTCAGGACTGAAGCTTAAACACACCAATTTTCCTAGGCCTTAGAAAGTCTATTCTACATCAATGACAGCTTTTGCTATACACTCTTCCATAGTATTCACAATGTATACTTGAAATTTCGTTCTTTCATGGCCATTAACAATGTTGCATGCAACGCACATAAATGCCACTTGCTATTTCTCAACCCTATGTAGGCATTAATAACAGGAGCTTGATACTAATGCTGTCGCCAATTGATGTTTGTGGTCTGAATAGGGCTTAAATATGTCCAACGTGGGACGAATAAGAAATGCACATGTACAATATGTGGAACAGCGAGCAGATTATTATTGGAATGAGCAGAGCACTTTGGACTAATGCCTCTGACTATTTACAGCGTAGAGGTACATATCCAATCTTTTGTCAAAAACGTCTCTGTTACATAGTGGATCATAATGACCCCCAGCGGGGGTCTTCACGCTTCGTTAAAAATCGAAAAATATCAAGATTTATTCCAAAGATCTCAATATTTTAGACGAAATCTTGAGATGTTATAAGACAATCTTGAGATTTTTCATGACAATATCGAGATCTTTCAGAAAATCTTGAGATGAAAACAAAAGGTCTCAAGATCTTTCCAAATGTTTCCATAGCATCTCGATATGCTTTAAAAAATATCAAGATTGTTTAAAAGATCTCAGGTTTTTTCAATATTGCTTTTAAAATCTTGATATTTTTTAAAGCATCTCGAGATGCTATGGAAAAATCTTAAGATGCTTTGAAAACATTTGGAAAGATCTTGAGACCTTTTGTTTTCATCT